ACACACACACACACACACACACACACACACACTTTCTTCATGAATAATCATCCTTTGGATTGTGTACATAACTTTCCAAATAAAATTGAAAGTAATAAATTGTGATATGTCTGCATACAAATATACAGTACATTTTTTTGTATATTTTATTAATACAATATGTGATTCACTGCAGTATTTATAGATACTTTTTATTACATTTCCTGAAACAACTATATTGTGAAATGTAAATTTAAATCCACACAAATTATAACTCATTTCATTTGGCTTCTTCCACCCACGCCTGTTTCTCAGTAGGACTGGCTGTGTAATGTTTTGAACAATGAACCTGAGGTAAAAGATTTTGAATCTTGAGGACTGTGTGAGATAAATCATCCGCCCAGCCAAACATGCCTGTATTATTTGATTAAATCCCGAGGAACAACCTGTTCTCGCTTCTCCTGCTGCATCATCTGCTCAAACTCTCTCACAATCAGATACCGACGTCGCCAACCGCTCATACAATCAGATTGAGCACCATCCCGGCAATCAGCGTCTGCGAGCTGGTAATGGAGTGATGGTTGAAGTCTGTTCTCTCTGCTTAGCCACACCGAACACTGTTTATTCCTCTCATTTATGAGGGTGTTATGTGGAGCCATGCTATATAACACCGTGATATTTTATGTAGAATCAGAATCAGAAAGAGCTTATTGCCAGATATGAAGACAGAAGAGCCGTACACATGGCACATGCAGATTATTACAGAAACAAACAAGATGGAAACAAAGGAATTTGTGCCTGAATCAAACAGCAGAGAAATTCGTGACAAAACGCGCCGGCTTTCGTTTGAAGACACATCGTTTTTCTGCCTCTTACTTTGTTTCCTCCTTTCTCCTTTCTGTCAGATGAAGCAACTGAACTTCATCTGACACGTTCTTGGTTTTCATCTCATGGCCGTTTGATTATTACACTCATTTGTTTAATATTAATGTCTAATTAACCCCGTTTTTTCCCAGCCGTCCCGGGAGTTAGGAAACAAGTAAAGAGATAATGAATTATTAATGGATTCTTTTCCGTTTTCATTTTCTCTGTCATTGTTGTCTTTAAATGACACAGTCTGCTCGTTCTTACATTTGAAGAACTTCTGACCCTTATTTGGGAAATATTTAATGTGATGAATAAAAATGAAGCTATGAGAGATAGAAGTGTAGTTTGTTCAATGACATTTATGTACAATGACTGTTGACAAAATTGAAAATATGTGTATGTAAAAGACGTTTCAGTCGACAAAAGATTTCAGACTCCGTAAGATTATAATGGGATATAAATGACAGGAAATGATTTACAGCTATTTTTGCAGGAAATGCGTTGGAAAAAAAATCATTTCCATATTAAATAAGTCCTTATAGTCATGCCAATATATTGATGTGAAAAAGTAAGTGCACCCCATCAAAAGTCCTTTTTAGGGTATGTGGATTTACTGAAATTACAATTTTATTTGGAAAACATCATATAATTTAACAATAAAAACTGGACTTTGAAATCTTTTATTCAACAAAAAAATTCAAACTATTCTGTGAAAAAGTAAGTATACCCTATTAAGAGTTAAAGAGTTAAAATATGTGGACTAGAGCATTATTTTGACAGTATTGAAGGCTGAATGTCATGCAGTTTAACAATTAACAGTGAAAACTGGACTTTGAAATCTGTTATTAAACAAAAATATCTACAGAAATTCAATTGAATGTAATGGAAAAAGTAAGCACCCCCTATATATAACATTTTAGGTAATTTTTACATTTCACTGAAGCAGATTTTTCTTTATTTTGGCATAATGGTACCATATGCTTAACAGAAATACTCTGGCTTATGAGGTGCTGCCTCTTATGATGTTCTACTAATTTGCACTTGTAATTGTAATTTTAGGCAAGAAATGTAGGGGTGTATTTACTTTTCCCCTCACACAGGAAGTTGGCATTTCCATTTACTTAAGCTGTACAAATCATTAAAAATGTACATTCTAAGTATAATTTGTTCAGTTTTATTGCATTTTACCTTTTAACATTTGTGAAATGCCAATCCAATATCTGTAACCCCAAATATATTACGAATAAAATGAAAACTGTGTATGAAACTCTCAAGCAGTTGACACATTTCTAGCCAAGTTTTCATTTGCATCTAATAAAATTGGTACCCTAACTCCATTCAGGAACTTTCTTCACCATGGAGCATCTAAACGATCCTCTGCTGTGCCCTACGTGAAGTGTACAACACCACTGTTCTCCGTAATTCATTTTCTCTGGGTTTGTGTCTGCCAACGGCTTATAGCTTCAGCTCAGGCCGAGCTCTAAGAATAGTCCTGCTTGCTCTTGGCGTCTGTATGTAATCCATTCAGGGCTGCCAGGGGACTAAGATGCCGCTGCTCGCACCTATGGGATTCAGAAGTGCTGAGAGGGTGGGTAGAGCAGAGGTACGGTGGCGTGGTTTCGCGCCGAGGGACATCTCCTCCTTCAATCTAAGACATGACTCGCAAGTAATACGGGCAAAAGAATGTGTAGCTTGTCGTGAGCGGTTCGGGTCACCGGGGAAAAGGATGTTGGGAGACTGCAGCACACTTGCATGCATTTTTATGATGTGTAATCACAGACAGTGTGTGAGTCCTGGTTGGTTTTCTCTGTGTTGTACCATTTCTTAAAGGCTGAGTTGACACGCTATAGGGCTTAGTGGATTTGCAGTGTGCTGTCCGCTGCAAAGAAATACAGCGCGGATAAAGACACATTTCACCCTGGTTCAGTTTCAGAGAGGACAAATATGTACAGTATATTTGTGACCCTGAACCACAAAACCAGTCATAAGGGTCAATTTTTTGAAATTGAGAATTACACATTATCTGAAAGCTGAATAAATAAGCTTTCCATTGATGTATCGAGGACAATATTTGACTGAGATACAACTATTTGATAATCTGGAATCTGAAAAATCGATAATTTTGACCCATATAATGTTTTTTTTGGCTATTGCTAAAAATATACCGAAGCGACTTAAGACTGGTTTTGTGGTCCAGGGTCACATTTATAAAATAAGCTACCAGAAGTACTATATTCAGTGCAGCTATAACCAACTATTTAAACAGCATTTTTAAAATGCATTTATTATATTATTAATATATACTACTACTTATAAAGATTTATTACTATTTGTTGAATATTTATTTAAATATTATAGAATACATTTATATTAATTGTCTATTTAAATAATAGTAGTATTGAATAATTGATTAATGGTTTAATATCAAAAGTAATATTGAAATATAATATAATATATATATAGTATATTTATGTAATAGGTGCCCAGAAGTACAATATTCCATGCAGTTATAACTATTTAAACAGCATTTTCTAAATATTTTATTATTTAAAATGCATGTTTTATTATGTATTATTTATAATTGTTTGTTGAATATGTAAATATGATTTATCATATTTTTTTAAATGTCTTAATTATTATTAATTATGAATATTTTAATAATAGTACTGAATAATTTATTAATGGTTTCATATCAAAAGTAATATTAAAGAAGTTAGATTTATAGTATATTTATGTAATAAGTGTCCAGAAATACTGTTACATGCAGATATTACCGGTTATTTAAATGCATTTTTTGTGACTATACACACACACACACACACACACACACACACACACTCTCACATACACTCACATACGTTACAATAAATAAATTAATAAATAATAATAATAATAATTATTATTATTATTATTATTATTATTATTATTATTATATAAATATTTAAATAATAATCATATTAAATAATTTATAATATTAAATAATAAAAAAACAAATGTAATTGCATTAATTGTATTATTTTATATTTATTAAAATAATTAAAAATATTAATTCAAAAACAATTTTATTTTTGTTTGTTTTCATGTAGGTTTCCTTTCGTCTTCCATTGATTTGACAAAAAGATAGTTCCACCCCAAATTCATGCTATTGGTTGAGCCAGTGTTTTTTTTTTAATCTTAAGTATTTTAAAATGGAAGAAAATGACGCATTTAAGTGAATTAGGGAATGCATCTTGATGTTGAAAAAAAAAAAAGAAAAGTTAATGTAAATGTTACTTGTCAAATTTGCATTTGAAATAGAGATTTCAGTGATTTTCAGCTGTTCAGAAGAATTATTTTTCTCTCTAGGTGGGAAATTATGGTGGGCAGACGATGTTCTCGCTCAGCTGGGAACCGTTAACAAGAGGGACGGAAAAAACCTGACGGTTCTTCGGAATAAGACCACAGGCGTCGTCCACATCAAAGTGTATGACAAAGACAGTCGGAAAGGTAAAAAGAAACATATCCTTGCCTCAACATTCATTTAGTAGTATTTTTAATAATATTTTTTGTTATAACACTCACAAAAAACTGGGAAAAGAGCAAACTCTCCCCGACGCAGAGGATCTCTTTTCTCGGTATGGAGTTGGATTCGGTCGAACAGACAGCATGCCTCACAGAGGAACGTGCGCGGTCGGTGCTGAACTGCTTGAATTCGTTCAAGGGCAGGACAGCGGTCCCACTGAAACTATTTCAGAGGCTCCTGGGGCATATGGAAGCTGCAGCGGCAGTTACGCCGCTGGGGCTGCTTCCTATGAGACCGCTCCAGCACTGGCTTCATTCAGAGGAGGCAGACCCAGCCCTAGCTTTGCTCTGTCCTGTCCGGGCCTTGAGATGCTACGTAGACCAGACACAAAGCTTTAGGACCTCAGACCAGCTCTTTGTCTGTTACGGAGGCCGGCAGAAGGGGAAGGCCGTCTCTAAGCAGAAGATGGCCCACTGGATTGTGGATGCCATCACCCTGGCTTATCAGGCACAGGGTGTGCCCTGCCCATTCAGGCTGC